TAGGTATTAAAATTAATAGGAAAAAAATTCATAGACTTAATGGAGTTGCAAGCCAATCCATATCCATCGGCACTATGAATAATGTTCCCATAATAATTGGTTTTGGAGATAATACAGCATCTATCATGGATGATGTTTCTGTTGTATCTGCAGAAAAGGACCGTAATAGAAATGCTAAATCTTTAGTAATTCTTGGTACTCAATGGCAATATCGAGCTGGATGGGAGCCTTTAGTAAAAGGGGAATTTAAAGCCATATGTAATAGAAAGACTATTACTATTCCCCTATCAGTTCACAAATCTTAGCGTAATATCTTTACTGTAGAGAAGGATACAGAATCTATAAAAAAAAACTAGTTAACTGACATTCTAATAAGGAGCGAGTATGCAGAAAATGTGGTAAAGAATTTTTGTACCCATCCAGGCTTGAGCAACATTTGGCTAATAAAACTCTATATATTTTTTCTGCAAGTAGCTCAAGTAATTCAAGTAGTTCTAGAAGTTTAACAAGTAGTTCTATTAATTCCAGAATGTTGACAAGTAGTTCAAATAATTTTGAAGAAAAAAATATGGTACCTATTCGATTAAGTCTTACCTAAACACGCATTCAAAAAGTATATTTTTTTCTGATATTTAGATCATTCTTTTCATCTTCCCACTTTCCAGTCCATAATTTAGTATCATGGTAAGAAAAATATGAACTTAGCTCTATTGTCGCATCTCTTCCAGCATGGGGTGTATAAGAAATAATCTTATCATTAAGAGCAATAATCTTTAAGTCTTTAGTGAAGATAATATCCTCCAAATCTTTATACTTATGTTCAGCTGACTTTTTTATATCCTTCTTATCATTTTTAAGTTGAGAGATAGTAGCGGATAACTTACCAATCTCCTTATCTTTTACGGCTATAGATTTTTTTAATGTAGAGATACGAGATTTATATTGCCTCTCCAAGTCAGCAGAATGAGAATTATGCTGGTTTTCTAGTTGATACTTAAATGAATATAGTTTCTGTTGCATATCTACTATACAATTATTATATTCACTCTCTTTGTGAGTCATAAGAGTATCATATTCATCTTTTATACTTTTATGTTCTTCATAAACCCGAGTCTCAATAGTTTTTTTAATATTGTTTTACTTCTGTCTTAGTAGAGCTTCACGCTTCTCCAACTGTTTTTCAAATCCATCCAATCAGGAAAAAGTATTGCTACCATCAGTAGAGGTATTTGCTTCGATCTTAATTTTCTGGCGATATTTACTTTTATAATACCTATTAACATTACTAGTGAGCAACTCCTCTATATCAAAATGAATTCCTCTAGCCTGTTCCTTAGATAGTGGGTTATTTTTGCGGATTGTAAGACGTAACCATGCTTCTTTTTTATGGATAAAGGTATTTGGTCAAGCAAACTCTTATAGTAATTATTGAAATGTGGTTGATTGGTCATATGATTGATTATGGTTTAGCACATTCAGTAAGGAAATATAATCTTAGAAAAAAAAATTCGAAAAGTTTGGAAATTTCATATTTTTTCTTAAATTTGGGGTATTTCATTTAATTCTGGCATAACTTTCCACTTAAAAATTGGTTAAAAATTTGCGGGGTCTAGATTTCAGAAAATTTTATTATCTGAAGAAAAAAAAATCATGTGATTTTTGACAAACAATGTTCTCTGAAATTTTGCCAAGAAAATTTTTTATTAATAATTACATGCATGAAAATCGAACTCTATTCTATAAATTTTTGGGAGTCGAAACCGTTACTACCATTTCACTAAAACTATGCTCACGTCTTGTCGCTCAACCACACATGAATTATTATAAATTCTTGTAAAAATCCAACAATAAAAAATTTAAGAATTTTTTATTCTTCTGGACTATTATGTATATCATACGGTCTTTGGGGAATCCTTTCGTTCCAACTAAGAATTTTACTTAATCCTCGAAACCAATCTTTATAAGTGCCTTCGCTACAAAGGGTTCAATGATGCAGTAACCACGATAGAATCACCACGCTCAAGTGAAATACGGTTTCTTCCATCAAAAGAGACCTTAATAAAAGAAATCTCCATTAGAAATATAATATATAACGATAATTCACGAAATACTTTTATTTCATTTATTCATTATTACCCAGCCGGTAATTCTACTAGTTGAAGGAACGCAAACACGTATTTCTTTAAATCCGGGAATAATCATCGGCCTCGCGGTAAGTGTATGTGGCGCAATTGGAGTTATCAAAATGGCATTTAGATCAGGATGAACGAGAGATCCCCCAGCAGAAAGCTATATCATAAATAAATATATATGTATAAAAAAATGAAATATTCTTCCTGAGAAATTTCTAAGATAAAGTTCAAAGGAGATTATATCAAATACCGAATAAGCAGTAGATCCCGTACATGTTGCTTTCAAATAAAACAAAAAATATAAATAAATATATATATATATATATAAATTAAAAGATTTTTATATCAAGATACTGTAAAGTCATCTTACCCAAAACAAGTCCATCGGCCCAAATTGATGTAATTTGGTAACCATCCAAAAACTTTTTTTTTTTTAAAAAAAAAAAAAAAAAAAAAAAAAAAATAGATGATAAGTGCAATAAGTTTCATTTGATAATTTGATTGGTTCTAGAAATGAGCATGATGAGATAACCAACCAGCAGGATTTCCAACATGTTCCCAGCATCACCACGGTCAATGCATAAATCGTTCAGCACTTGAAAAATTTCAGGTGACTTTGAAATTTCTTGACAATTGACTCCATCAATATTACTTTCATTACCCTTTTTATGATTCCTATAAATAGAACACTTAAGTCGAGATCTGACATTAACATGGACACCGCCTCCATCTATCACATTACGTAAAACACGCCGATGATTATTAAAATCAAATACAGTCAAGAAACCCAAAGAACCAAGATGAAATGATAATAAAGGTGGCATGTCACTTTGAAACATCCATGATGAATATAAAATTGTTCCATCACCTCCAAGAGTAATCATCAAATCAATATTATCAAACTTGACGTCAGTTGCGTTCCAAAAATGAAGTTGACGTTTATATTCTTCGCGATCAGCGATCATCTCGAATACATTCACAAAATTACGATCAACATAGACATGAATTTTATGATAAGATTCAATTAACCAGGTTGTTACTTCTCGAGTATAATTAGCTAGCTTTTGCTCAGGTTTTGTGATAATCATTATATGACGTATAATATCAAGTTGAACAATTTGTTCAGCTGCATCTCGTGCTTCATCTAACATATGAATGTATCTAAGAGAAGGATTGATTTTAAACTCATGCTGATGCTTCATTGACGTAAAATCAATTACGTACCTTTTGATCAACGACTTTATGCTCAACGAATCTTGAACGTTAATTGTTTCCTGTTTGTATAAATTAAAAAATTTTTAAATTAAATAAATCATTTTTAATATTTCAAAGTAAATTTTTTTCCATTACCGGAAGATCAAAAACAATTGCTTGAAATTTAAGGATATTTTGATTATCTTTCGCCACGTTTTTCAAGATATTATTAAGATATTCATCATCTTGATATGAATGAATATCATGAAATTAACGTAAAGTTTGTTAGACTACATAAAATCATAAAAAAAGATACCTCTTTTCCATGTGACCCAATCGTTATCCTGATCTTTCCATTCAATTTTGCACTTTTCCGAATCAAAAGTGTCAAATCCTTTTTTGAAATGGTATTTAACTTTATCAAAATTCAATTCATTTTCTACGAAAAAAAAGAAACATTAAATTTTACATCAAAATATCATACTGCGCCAAACATACCTTTTATGGTTACATAAATAGTTTCTCCTCGAAACGTTAGTTTTAAATTCAATCTGGAGAGGTGATCGGCCATATTTCTTATCTTTCTGAAAATAATGGTTTTTTGTGGATTGATTTTTATAAACATTTACTAAAAATCTTATGACGTAAAATCGTAATCATTTTATCGTATTTAAATTTCCAATTCCGCCATGAGAAAATACGCCCATATATAAATAAATCACAATAAACTTTTAATTATTAACAATATCCCCGAAAATTGACTTCATGATATCCGAAGTATGGAGAGATTCTTCAAAATCGTAAATTGGTTTAATTAATGAATAACGTGGTCGTGATAATTGCTTAATGAAACATCGAATATAAGTATTTCGAATCCATGGTCTTGAGTGGATGATGAAAAAATAATGTTTGAGTTTGATTTCTCTAACTTTTTCATCAATAAAAGTCAAAGATTGTTTCTCAACATTTGAAGGGATTTTTTGTTTCAATTCTTCATAGACGGGGACCACAGGAATTAATAATTCTTCTTGTCTTTTAGAATTCTTTTCTTTCGAAACATTCCAATAAAGGATTATCTACCCGTTACAGTCACATGAGAGTAATGGATTTCAACATCTACTCGTGATAATTCAATTTGTTGTTTATTGCACGTATTTACTTTCTAAAAAAATTTTAATTAATGTTACCCTAATTCTACTGCGTGTGACTTTTAATTTTTTATAACAATGTGTTTTTTGCGTACGTATAATGAGAATGTAAGGGACCTTACTAATTGAATAAATCATTTTTTTTTTAAATAAAAGAATTTCGTTCCCTTTGCGATCATAAATAAAAGGCCTCAACAATAAATTTTTAAATTGCTAATCTTAAATCATAAATATTTTATAATTCCAATATATCATATTTAGAGGATGTATAAATGGTCATATGCAAGTACTTTACGCAGCTTGTATGTCGAATGCAACTATGATATTCAAAAAGGGAACATTGGCACAGCACAGAAGAATTTTAATTGGTGAGAAAGAACGAAGGAATATGCAAAGAACATGTGAATTTGCTGCGGAGCATTCATGTGACATCCAGAGTTTGTGAGGCTAGTAAATCTAAAAATTCTTAATGCTTGTTCTTTCTTGTATAATGTGGCTTTACATGTGAAATTATTCAAAAATTCTTTGTCAATGATTAATGAACTAAAAAACCTTATGATTTTTTGAACTAAACTAATTTTAGGTTTAAACTACGGTAACTACGGTAATAAAAGATCTCTTTTAATATGCCTAATTAAGACAATTCGTTCTACTAAAATATGCACCTGTGATTATCTTTTAAATGATTTATCTTACAAAATAACAAAACTGAATCAAGTATAATTTGTGAAGCTGCTTTGTAGATTAAAAAGGCAATTCCAAATGTTTATTAACCAATAAAGTTGTTGATCATTGCTTGGCAAAGATGTTTTACCGTAAAAAAATATTTCAACTTTGTCTGAAACAAAAAAAAAATTATATTCAATTATCCAAGATTGGATGGATCAAATATATTTTTTTGTTTCAAGTCCCTCTAGACATCATGGGATTGGTTCTAACGTCTAATATGTCATACAATGGATCACAGGAAATGATTGGTCTATAAAAATTTTTTTAATTAAAAAGAAAAGAACGACACAACATGTCTTGAGAATGTCATTTCATTGGCTGAGCCCAAAATTTACATTACTTTATCATGACGCAGTGGGATCGACAATAGTGATAAGGGAATGATCGGTGGAAGGCGAAGCAAGAAATATTTATTCACTTATCATATTCCGTCCAACAAATTGATTATCCAGAGTGATCTTTTTAATTATTTCTCTCGTTTGTTAAAAATTATTAACATTAATCAGGAAAGCAATATGCACACACCCACCCGGTAATATAAGAGGAGAAACTTTCAATCAGAAACGGCCGATTAAAAAAAAAGTGACTGTTGAAATGAATTTAAAAATTTGAAAAAATGCAGGAATCCTAATAAGAGAAAATAAAGAATCTCTCACTTCACTTATCAAAGAAATCATCTGATGTAACACAATTAAATTGGTTTTTGGTATTGAAAGATATATGCAATGTATTGTGACAATCAAATGGAATATATTAAAAATTTAAATCTATTTTTTTTTTCTTTGAACTTCAATTTGTATGGGAACTTTTTCACTGTGAGTGTTACACCGAAATAATAAACAGGTTGTATCACCTTCCCGCTTATCCGCATATATATTTTATAAATTTTTTTTTTTAAAATATTTTTCTTGATCCTTCACTATATATATAAACAGTAGTTTGCACATCGATAATTTCTTCCTCCAAAAAAAAACACCTCTCGTAAAAAAAAAAAATTATAATAATTTTTTCTTTTAACATCGTAAAAACTAAAATCCTTTGATAGAATTTATCTTTCGCTTAAAACCTAACCGTTGGTTCTTATAATAAGATCGAGAGAAGAGAGTACTTGCGACCTTAAAATTTATTCATTTTGCACTCGACTTTTTTTTCTTCTCACAATGTCAACTGTTGCACCACAAATGAGACCTGAAGTTAATCGCTCACATACTTTTCCATCCACTTCGGCGCAAAACACAAGACGTCGTCGCAGAGACACTTTTGTAGAACGATTGCTCAAGGATCCTATGTTACAAACTATGGCCGATATCGGTAAACAAGAAGGTGCAATTAAACCGCTTCCTGCGCCGCAGCGCGCAAGAACCATAAATATTTCTGAATTTCAACAATATTATCGTCATTTTCAAGATGGTAATTTTCACCATTATCTTAACACGATTCAAAGTAAAATATAATTGAAAATATAAATTAATACCTTTATGAACACTCATTTTCTTTTTTTCGCTTTCTTTTTTTTATTTATCTTATCATTTTCTATTGTTATTTTTATTTTTTTACTATAATGTATCGGTGGATATATTTAGGGATATTTTGTGATTTTTTTTTTATTTCTTCATCATAGACAATATAAATTTTTTTTTTCTCATTCTTTGAAATCCTTTCTTAATGAGGGATGGATTTGCACTTGTACATAGGTTTATTTCTTATTCTACTAAATTGCCTTTCATAGGACCGCATCAAAAATTTCCCAATTCTTTATTTTCAACAAAGTATGTGATTCCTTTGTTTTCTTTGTTAGTATTTTATTCTTTGAAATTTAATATCATAAATAAAGATATATTTTTTTTCTTTTGAAAAATGTTACATTGTGACCACGTTCTCGTGATATGATAAATGATTGGCGTACATCGCACTTTAATAGATTGGGCAAATTAAGGGAATTTTTTCTTTCTTTTTTTATATAATAACGATCGATGATTGTCGTTGTTTATCATGTATAAGTTGGAAATTTCGCCCGACCAAGTGAAATACAAATGTCTAATATTAAAGCGGTAGGCTTATGCGCAGCGGCCGAGTCATTAAAAAAAAAAAAAAATTGTCACCTGCTTTAACTTAACCGTAACTTTATCCAATAGCTTGTCATCTCGTCACTGAAAAAGACCATATGACCGGATTTAAGGTTCATAATTTATATTATTTAGGTCATATTTTTATCGGATTTCCCTTAGCAAGGGATATTAAATGAAAAAAAAATTGATTATGCTCAAGTTGTGCAATCATGCCTACCTAACGCGTGAAAAAAAAGGTTCATGTGCTCAATTTTTGCATCGATGAGCTCGATGAGCGATTTTTTTTTCCTTTTTTTTTTTTTTTTTAATTTAAAAACTTATTTCTTTATCATTACTATTGTAGAAAGAAAAAAAGAGAACAATCACAAATTATTTTTGAAGTTTCACTTGACACCCTACAAGTTCATCATCTAGATATGATATCTTTTTTTTGTGGGGAAAAAAACTTATTTGTTTGGGCTGAACTAGATATAGAGAAACTGATAGGGTGGGACACAGAAACTCGATGAATAAACATTAGTTCACATGATTTTGTGAAAATGATTTATTTGTGTGCAAAAACAATCTGTTTTTAATAAATCTGTCACAATTTTTTTTTTTTTTTGCAAGAATATAGTCATAAGTTCGCAATAAACAAATTACAAATCAAATTACAAAATTCACAAAAAACTCTCTTTTGTTTCAACTTGACAAATCAAAATGTAGTAAACCTAACTTCGATAAAGATGAAATTACCAAATCTTGTATAGTATGGGAAATCAAATCACCAATAAACTCTATGAAGCAACGATCCGAAAAAGCCATATTATCAAGCTATCAGAATATCATAAAAGGTTACTTAAAGCGATAGGAAAAAATAAAAATCAGCTCACGAACCTTTCGTGTCTGATTCCAACATCGTGAAACATAGTCGGTAAATACTCTCACGAACATCTCACAGACATGTAAATATATACATATCATAAATATATTTTTATAAACTTTTTGTCAGTTAAATTTTTTTTAATAGTTATTGTTACATCTAACCCGAAACATCGACCATTTTTATTTTATGTTATTTATGTCTCCGATATTTCCGAAATTATGTCCGTAGTCATTAATTTACCGCCGAACTGCATACCGCAACTCCATCACATACCTATCTTTTTTGTTGACTCTTTTGAAAAATAAAAAATAAAATAAAATAAAAAGGAAAAAAAAAATGTAGATTTTCTAGAGGTTTTTGAGTTTTGAGCGCAGCAATTTGAGGTGCAGTGAATTTTCTCGTTCCAGAATGGTTTTCTGAAACCTTATTCCCTACAAATTAAGGAAATTGTCCCTGTGTACTGTGTAAAGGTAAATAACATGTCGGCATTTGGATAAACAGGATATGAAGACGAAAAAGGGTTTTTCCAGTTTAAATAGATGGGAAATTAATAAATGCTGATTTAGAATATGTATGCATGTTCTACTGATAAGAAAATGACCTAGCCATTTCCGTTAAACCGAAATATTTAAACTGTTGATTTCATAATCTTTACTACTGTATTATATTAAGAGGAAAATATTCTTTTTTAACAATATAATGGATGTGATTAATCTTTAAATTTTCTCACATTTTTATTAAAGAAAAACAAAGAACTCCATTAAAATGAGTGAAAAATGAAAAACTTGCATTATAACAATAGTAAACGTGGCAATAATGATTAACAAAATAACATATAATATCTTCCGTATTAAATGGTAAACAATGTGCAAATTGCAGCTCTTCAATAAATCTTGAAACACCGTAATAATATTATAAGGAGTTCTGAATATTTGAAACTTTTACTATGGTTGTAGATCATTGTTTACTTTACATATGATTTAAATTAATTAATCAAGGTTACACATATTTTTTACATGCAGATACATGAATTGCGCCCCCAACCAATTTAGAATTGCAAAGAACCTAACATATTCTTGAACTAATTAGCCACCATTTATTTAATCCACACAAATTCCCTTCAAATTAAATTTGATGCACATCCGCAGATCAACGAGAGTTTGGATTTAGATCCTTTTGTGTTTCCCAAGTATTGCACTAGTGGTTTTATTTCATTATTAATAAGATTAATTTGATTGGAAATTTATTTCATAAAATTAATCTAATTTTAAATGCAAAAAATATATTTAAAGCGTATTTGTTATAAAAAATGTCAACAAATGATTATTCTGTAATGACGATTCGATTAGAACGCAAAAGTTTGCTTAATAAAAAGAATCTAATTAATTGTTAGTATTCTATGCGTATCATCAAATCCTAAAGATATTCTTCGCATGCTATCTGTCAGATCAATTGGTTTCTCGGTCAAGGTAACACGAAATTAATCTAAACATCAAGTTTCCGATTTTAATAAAAAAATTTAATTCGTGGTAGTAATGGAGAAGATAGCGACCAAAAAGATTCTTTATTTTTTTTTTTTTTTTATCAATCATAATGAAATCGCGGGTGATTTAATATTTCGATAAACCTTTTATTTTTAATCAAATGTGTCTGTGCAAATTCATTGAAAATTTTTGTAATATATTTAAAAAAAAAATTTCATAATAATAATAAAATCATTTAATTTGATATGCAAATCACGATTAAACCCTTATAAAACATATGGTGGCGTATTCTCTTCGACTTCCATTGATTGTTCATCATCATTATCCTTTTTTATTTCGTTTTCGTCCTTTTGTCCGTTTCGTTGATTTAATAATAAAACCTCAATAATGTACTCGAGATTTCCATTATATTTCTTTACTAATCCTTCTAAATTATCATCAACAAATCCCATTGTATTCAAAACGTTTACCTTTTCTGCTACAACTTCTGATGGAATTTGTTGATTTCTACGATGGCGCCTACCACACCCGTAACTACGAGAAGCGGCGAATCTATTACTTTCTCCAGAGTTGTTGGGATCCGATTGTGTATTTCCACGACGAGATCTTTCACCAAATGTGTAATAATATGGATTAAATCCGCTGAATCTTTGTGCACTACAATGAGCGCGACGTCTTTGTGACCAAGGATTAGTGGCTACAATCACAATAATTTCCGGATCATCGTCACTAATAACTTTAGAATTGTTTCGTGTAACGTTGTTAGTAGATTCAGCGGCTTTTTTTGAAGTCTCTCCAGGAATTTCTTCTTCATCTGTTATGGTGACATGTCTGTTGTTATTATTTGATTCTTCAATTTGAATGGCGGATACACCGTTAATTAAACTAAAAGTTTCTTCATCTATCATAGTATCGATTGACCTTCCTCTATCAAACATGTTATTAAAATTATTCCCATTTGACGTGGTTAAATTGAATTTGATCGTATTATTGGATGAATTAGAAAGAACTTCTTGAAGTTCTATATCACTCGAAAGTGTAATAATATCGCCATCCTCATCAGTATAAGTAGTGACGATAGGAACGTTTTGAGGAATATTAAATAAAGTATGCAATTGAGTTTCGAATTCTGACCAAGTCGTGGTTGAGGAAATTCCAAGGCGACGAGAAATTGATCCAAATTTTACTTTAATATTTACCATGTCTAACCTTTTATCGATTTTGGTTATAAAATTAACGAATATTATATTCTTTATTATGAAAAAGTTTAAAAACGATGTAAATTTTTTTGCATCTCATTTTATAAATTTTTTATGTAATTACGTTCCATATTCGTAATCAAAATGGCATTTTCCAGCTTGCGTGAATAATATACATACACTTGTTCGATAAAAATAGTAAAAAATATGATGTTCAAGCCGCAGTAAATCATTTCATTTCGGATAAATTTCGGCAAAAAATCAAATTTCTACTAGTACAATCCACCATGTTCTGTTGTAATCGTCATCAAATTGTTTGATTCAGCAAATGGTTACGAAAATGGTGACGAATATACAAGTACGTGAGTATGGAATTTAGAACGATTACAAATATCGAGCGCAGCGGACATTTGAGGAGTCGAAAAAAAACTATAAAATGCCTCCGAAAATTCTTGGAGTGAAAACTAAACACCAATTCAAATAAAAAAAAAAAACTTTAATACCTTAATAAATCTTAAAAATGGAAACAATTAAAGTCAATTATAACTCGATTTCTCGTCGTTTCAACATTAACACTTCAACAACTTGGACGGAATTAGAATCAAAGTTACGATCACTTTATAATATCCCAACCACAACTTCTCTTAATGTCTCTTACACTGATGAAGATGGTGACGTGATCACTCTTTCAAGTGATTTAGAATTTAAAGAAGTCCTTACTCAACAATCCTCCGGTAGACCTATAAAACTTGTCTTGAATACAGTTAATAACAGTGAAAGTTGGGTTTTTGAAGACGGAAATAACGATATCGTTGAAAATGGATTGTCGAATGAAAAAGTTAATAACAATTTGAACCTTTTTGAAGATTCCTCTTACCAAACCGAAGTGCAACAAACTACTGAACGTGAAGAAGAGAATGTTAAACATACACCAGCGTCTTATTATCGTCATGTTTCTATCGAAGAAGAAGTTGAAGAAGAGGCAAAGGCTGAATACAATCATTCTATTCCTTCTCTTCGTAAAAAAGAGGAATATGAAACCGGAAAACAACAACAATCCGAAAAAACAAAAAATGCCGAGGCGCAAGCAAAAAGTGACGATGATGATGATGACGACGAAATCATTGTCATAATTTCATATTCATGGGCTCGTCCAAATTTCTTTGAACCTATATTTGGTTCCTTTGGAAGCCCAAGATTCGATAGGTCTTATTTGGGTTCGGAATCCGAACTATTTAGTCGTTGCCCATTCCGTGGATCCATTTATAATCCTTGTAATTCTTATGCATACGCTCATCCACAATTTTATCGTTCAGCTTTTTTTAATCGATGTGGTGGTCCGTCAACTTATTATTCCGGTTCTCGTCATAGTGACTCATGTGGACGCAAATACAAAGGCTGTAATAGAAGCCCAAAACATCAACAATTGGGTACAAACGTCAAAAATGCTGAAGCTTCAACATCCGCATCTGCAAATAATGGAAGTGATAAGAATGACTGTAACCGTAATTGTAGATCAAAATCTTCTTGCAATTAAAATTTTAACTTTTTTAATCCTCGCTATTACAACCAAGCACCGTTTACGCAACAACATTTAAAAGATAGACTCACAACTTTACATTCCATGGGATTCGATTCTTCAAACGATGCTTCGTATGAAGAATTATTAAAGCGTTATAATGGAAATCTTGAGCGTGTAATTGAAATTTTGTTACGCAATCAACAATTTAACGAACATGATGCTTCTGCTAGTGCATCAATAGGACCAAAAGGAAATGTTGAAAAGACGCAAAATAGATACATTCACGAAAAGAATGCTGAAGATGTTAGCGAAGAGAGTGCAATTATGAGAAGCTTTCCTTATTCAATTTTCTACGTAGTTATAAGTAGCTAATTACTGTATATTAGACTTAAAATATTTTTTTTTTTATATATTAAATATAAACATTCTTTTCATATCATATTTTATAATATTACACGAGTTTTAATAAAAAAGATTCGACTTTAAAATTTTTTATTTGATATACGGTACATACATAAATTCGACGTTAATAATACTAACTTGTTATAAGTGAAATTTTTTAAATTTATTTTTAGAAATTATGCAAAATTGAATTCTTCGTCACTAGATATATTTTTAATAAGTTAAACTATACAATAATGAATTTATATATTTCATCGCATTTTTTACTACCTAGAATCATATTCTAGTTAGATACATTCGAATCCCTTTATAATCACAACCACTTGGGACCAATAAATATCAAATGGAATTAATTCGCTTTCAATTTTTTTTGTGGTATTAAGCATCTACTTGATAAACTACATGCATAGATCTATCACGAATGATGAATTGTGTTCAAATTCTTTCTAATTAAACTAAATTCCTTATGCTCTATTTCGTATATAGACTTCTAACCGTGGGGTATAAATTCCTCAGTCAAGTGCTTGATTGACTATCCAACACCCTTAACATGACTCATCTTGTACATGCACCATTCGCAATGATAAATTATTCATATATAAGCTTTGTACCATTTTGATCATTTATTGATTAACCTTTTAAAACATATTTTTCTCACTTTCATTCAAATTTAAAGTTAATACAAATATTTGAATATTTGCATAAATAAAATTTTATTTCATCTCTTATGTTAATATTCTTTTACTAGGTTCCGTAACTCATTAACGTGAAAATGTTTATTCGTAACGAAACACTTACCATAAAAATATATGTTCACGTTTTTTGATTTATACGTTTTAATATAAATTTTAGTTTAAGTGATACAACTCAGTAAGCCCCCTGATCCAGTACGAATTTCTTTAGTGTTTTGAAAGAATCACAATTAACTTCCAATCATAATATCCGAATGTGTATTGAGCTCGGCTGTATTCTCTACATTGACGATATCGGCGTAAAACCTTTTAATGGAATGTATTAAAAACCACTTCTAAAATTTTTTTTATTAAATCACATTCAAAATGAGAAATTCCCAATCTCTTTTGTAATCTTTTTAGAAATTTAGAAGAATGTGTCTGACAAGCTCTTTGGGAAAATATAATATTTTCGTATATTAAAATGGATGTGAATTATCTGACTTTTAAACAGTAAGAATACTTTTTTGAAAATTTTAGATGCGACTAGATAAAAAAGCTTGGAAATAGAAGACGTCAATTGGTTAAATATGCCAAATGGTAAAACCTACTATTTTTTTAAAGATGATTTTTAAAATATTTTCAAGTGCAAATTAAACATGAAGCAATGCAACGGTGGATATTTCCTTGTTTGACCGACTATACTCTTGATGTTCATTTCTATGACTCAAATTTCTTGTACTAGGCTAGGTCGTCCAGTTTATACTTACTTTCTATGTTCAACTATACTTTGGTTTACATCTGATAAAATAATGTAAAGATGTTTTAAAACATCCTTAATTATTTCTCTGATTATCTTGTTCTTCTAGCTGACTTAATTCAAGGAAAAATCGAAGCTTTTCACACATATATATGTTAAAAATACAGACAGGTTTCATATTTTTTTCGTAAAATTAATCATCTGAATTGATGATATAATTTAATTTGTATGTGTTGTCATGAGCAAAATTTTCACACCCAACATCGAGAATCTTATTAATTAAAATTAATACATTGAAATTGTGAAATAATAAATGGAAAGTAATAACATCAACTGGAAACTACAGTGGCACCGACAAAAATTTCGCGATCACGTGATAATAGGCCTGCATTATGCATAACCCTAACCTAAATCGAAAGGTATGACAGAATGTGACAAATATGATTTCACGCCTAAAACCAATTTTAAGCCACGTAATCGCGAAATTTTTGTCGGTGCCACTGGGCTGGACATCGTGCTGTGCCAAACAGTGTTTGCTTCTGTTACACCACCTTCTAACATGTGCTTTTAAATTTTAGAACTTCTTGACAAATTCGATTGTCTTTTTTACGTCACATATGTGGACCCAACGTAATGAAAAATAAAAAAATTTGGCAACCAGACTAGACCAAAATATTCCAACTTGTGACAACATTCTACGTGCATATCAAAAAAAATTTATATAGAGCAAACGGCCGGCTTAATTCCCAAAATTTATACCATTTCCATTGCCATTATAAGATTCCTTGGTTGCCCTTTACAACTTATCTTGCTGCCGATTATTTACTATTGCAAAACCTGCAAACGAGCAGAAGTCGTTAAGAAAATAAATGTAAAGCAAACAATCAAAGAAAAATTCATAATTGAACGCACCATCTAACATGTTTCGTATGATTGTTAGTATCCCACCAACATGCAATCATACAAATTTTCGAAAAGTCTGGTTGTGCCAAACATGTACGACCCCTTTAAGTTCTCTATAAATCGGCCAGTAAGGGTTCTCAGTTATATTATCTTCGCATGTAAAATGTACAACTCATGTCTCACCTGTTGAGAGAAATTAAGAGCTCGTCCAAAATATTCATCGAGCTCGTTCCGTATTGCTGTTGCCAATACTCGAGAACAACCGTAGGATTTTTGAACGAACTGATAACAATATCGCTATATTTGTATTGATTTCGACCGTTAATACTATGTATTCCACTGACCGGTAATTGTAAAACCGATGAGCCAATTCGATATAGTTCTGAATCATATATATTTTCTCTTGAGACGCTCAATCTTTTAATATTATTTACGATCACATGGACTTTCTTAAATGAACAAAAGCATGCCTAATTCATGGCTTCTTTATCGAAAGTCTGTATAGCCTGTTTCAAGATCTTAAGGATATCCAGCCAACGCGGTAGGGCAGTGTTGGGAAATTGGACAATTTTGGATAGGTTTGGACAGGTTTTGGACACAATTTCATATGTCCAAAACCTTGTCCAAAATTAAAAAATGTGTCCAAAGCCATCACTGCGGTAGGGTACTTCAACTTTCGGGCAGGAAGGAAATACCTGAGGAATTAATTGCCGAAGGACTAGCCAGCGTATTAATGGCAAAGAAATTTTGAACATGTCTGACTCTTCTCCATCTCCTTCGGTGAGGAACAAAGCTAGATCCTCTTGGTACTCGATTATCGTCAATGTCGACATAGTTAAATAATTCGAATTCAGACGCAGGTTGGAACCGGTCGATATTAACCGGTTAAGAAGTTTATCTTGTTAACCGGTTAAAATTTTTTGTATTACAAATTTTGCTCATTTTACCCAAATTTATAGTGCCAGTTTGAGTTGAATTTAACTGGTTAATTAACCGGTTAAGGATTTTAGGGCCGGTTCCAACCTCTAGGGTCCAGTGGCGACTACGGACCAAATGGCATATTTTCTCTTGTTGTCTTAATATCAAGGAGAGTTTTCACACATGAGAACTTTACATCACCATTCGCTCTATACAGTGGATCGAATTCGTCGATAAGGAGAACAATCTGATAATTCCACTTGATTTTCTGAAATGCTATGACGAAATCACTGGCAGTGTTGATATTATCAAGTTCGTCGTATTCGAGAGCATCGAGGTAGAACTGTGCGTTAAAAGTTTGCCAGAATTCGTTCACGCTTTCTTGCTCAAAACATACACTATTCCGAAGTGACGAGTTTCAATAGAAAACAGTTATATATCGTGCAATATGACAGGCAGGTTGCATCATCTATCATCCATTTCCTTCGCCTTTTCTTCGGCATGATTCTCGCTCTTCATTTTTGTGCGCATTAACGGTTCTTGAACATTCCTCCTCTGGAGTCAGTAGACCTTTATCAACAACAAAGTTAGGGCGCCTGAATAGAGAACTTCTGGAGTGGGTATCAGCTCCAGTTATAAAACTCATGATTTCCTTAGTCAAGTCGGTAGTCACTAGAAGTTACCCTTCCTTTGCAAAATAAAGAACGTATCTTCTTCTTTAACTTTGCAATCCTTGTTTAACAACTTATTTGCATCAACTAAAAAATCGTCGAGACCAGGTAATGTCAAGTCTTTCCCAAGAGTCTTTAGATTGTAATGATGAAATAATTACATCACGGTTACGGTTCATAAATACGCGATATGGGAGATTGCTATTAAAACTCATGTTCGGATCATATGATTTACTATGTCTCGTAACCATATTTTAATAGCAAACGATCATATGACCAGCTTTTTTTATCTTTTAGGTAGGAGATATGCTCTGGAAATTCAAATAGGTTAGAAGCTAAGAATTTAGCGAGTGAAGGTCAACGAGACTTACCCTTGTAGTCGGTGTAATTAGGTTCGCTCATAGCTGATTATTAATGACGAATACAGATTTGAATGGAGAATAATAGAGAATCTGTTTTTTATACAATCACAGGTCATCTGTGCTTTCATTCTTATTTCATTCCTGAGTAACGTTATGCAAAGCAACTATGAATGCTTTGATAGTTTTATCCGAAATTTTGCCGAGCTTTATCAATAAGATTCTATTTAATAATATATTGTGAGTGATTTCGTGGAAAAATTTCTTGAAAAATTTGCTTCTCTACAATATATAAATGTTAAGTAATGGATTCGCTAAAATTAGGTTTATTAAGAAAATTGTTGAAACATAGTTATTACCTATATAATAGGGAGGACCTCATTCTCGAAGCTGGTCGAAGCTCACCTAAATCATTCATCACGAATCTACGGATATAGCTGTCTGGCATATCTCATTTTAACGAATGACAAATGGAAACTCTATGTTTAGACGGATTTATTAATAAGACTTTAATATAGTTTTGACTTTATCTAAATGGATGAGCTTGAGTCTTTTGTTTTGCATTTCAAAGATTTCTTTTTGCCTTTTTTATCGCGTCAAAAAAACACCTAAAATATTTTTAGAAAGTCAAAGTCGAGGAGTCAGCTCTTGTTTCCATAATTCAACTTCAATGTTATTATCAGTCTCTCGCCTTACATCGCTGTTTTTTTTTGAGTTTCGATGATAGTTTTTAAATAAGATTTTATTTCAGTTTAGTGTCGAAACCCAAGAGTTTTACCAGGCATCTATATCTACAGACCTTGATTAATCTTCGTAAATACAAAGGTTTTATTAACTTTGCTTAAGAGTTCAAGGCGAACAAGGAATGAAACGTTGATCATCGCATCATCCGCATCTTTATTTTGCTAAAAAATTACTATATTACGTAATTTCATATATTGATTATATGATCACGTGACTCGGTTCTAAGTATTAGTTATCTCCTGCCATTTACTAACTATACATTATTATAAGTTTAAGCTTATTTGGCGCAAATATATAAGTGGAAAATCATAAATAATAAATTAAATTTTTTTTCTCATAGCAGGTTTTATAAAAGCTTCAAATTATTAAATTCAAAAAATAATACTGCTATTTTAGATGAATTAAAAGAAAATGCAAAATGCTCAACTCATTGAGAAACTTCAAAATCATTCAATTCTAAAGAAATATTAAAATTGAGGTATAGACATAGTAAACCATATGATCTGTACCTCAATTTTAATATACACCATACATATTATTCCACCAGATAAAAATTGAATACATAAGGTATACTATAATATTAAAGATATCTAAACTTACAATTAAAGAATGTTAAAGAAAATCATTTTTTTATTTAAGTAAAGATCTAAAAGGTATTTTAACATTTCTAATTTTAAAATATTTTAATAATCATAAATATTATATTTATTATTTAGATATTGAAAATAAAATTTGTATTCTACTTTTCATATCATCAAAACAAATTGTCTGAAATACTAAAAGAAATTTGAATTATTACTAAAATTAATTATACAAATTGAAAAATTATAAAATTATAAATCATTTATTATGAAAATATACTGTTCAAAAATTAATGAAAAAGGATTAGATCATAAAATTTAATGAGTGTAATATTTCTATAAATAATCTGTATAAGGAAAGTATATGAAAATAATATGTTAAAATAATGTATACTATATGTAAAAAACAATATAATAAATTTGTAAATATTTCCATATACTAGATACTAATATCATTTTTTCTTATACAGAAAAATACCGAATTATACATCTATCGATTAAATAAATTAATTTTCAAAATAAATTTTTATTAAAAAAATAAAATAAGATAAAAATAAAAAATAAAAAAATTTCATTAATTTTATATATAGTAAATTAATTAATTATAATATTAAATAAGAGTTTTACAATTTATAATATAAATTTAAATATAAATCATTTATCTGATTTTTTTTAAATCAATATAATAAATCTTTTGATTTCCTAAATTATTATTATTTTATTATATTATATTATACATTATTTCATGATATAATATTAAAAATAAATATAAAAATTACATTTTTTTAAAAAATAATTGCAATTTTGAGATTAGCAGAAATTTTATTAGTAGTATCTTAGATTTGGATTTAGATTCGATTTATTAAATTTAAAATAAAAAATTCATTCTGAAAGTTAAAGATGGTATTTATAATTAAACTTTATTAAATTTTTAATAATAAATGCTGTTTCTAACTTTTAAGATAAACTTATTATTAAAAAAATATTTTTTAATAATAAAGTCTATTATGAAAGCCAGAGATAGTATTTATTATTAAAAAAATAAAAAATATATTTTTTTAATAATTAGTTTATCCTAAAAGTCAAAGTCGACATTTATTATTAAAAAAAATAAAAACCTTTATTTTTTTTAATAATAAAATCTGTCCCAAGAGTCAGAGATAGCATTTATTATTAAAACTTTATTTTTTTAATAATAAAGTCTATCTAAAAATAAGGAACAGAATCCAAAAAAGCAAATTAATAAATAGCCGAAATGATATTAAAATATAGTGAGAAATACGATGAAATCTTAAAACTTGAAATTAACCAACATTATATTAAAAAATATGACAAAATTATTTTGAAGAAGTTTCAGTGAGTATCTTTAAGCCCATCCTAAAAATTAGAAGTAGCATTTATTATTAAAAAAATTAAAATCTTTATTTTTTTAATAATAATCCGTCTCAAAAGTCAAAAGTGACATTTATTATTAAAACTTTATTTTTTTTAATAATAAAGTCTGTCTCAAAGTCAGAAGCTGTATTTATTATAAATCTAAAAATTGTTTTTTTGATCCATCAAATACGAATATAAATGAATACAGATTCAGATTTTAATTTGTCTGATTTATATTGAATCTGAATTTGGATTTAATAGATCTGTCAGATTTAGATTCGTATCAAATCAGATTTTGCCTAAAATTAATCTGATCTAATTCATGCGAAATACTAATAATACTAATAATAACATTTTTGTTTTTTGAAGTATAAAAAATAATATTTTAAGTCTGATAGATCAGATGTAAATTCAAATCTGAAACTAACAGATCAATCTATATTTAAATCTAAATCTGTTTTGAATTCAATTAAACTGATTTAATTTTAAAAAACTTTCACTGGTTGAAATAAATACAAATATGCTAAAAATTAGACAGACAATTGATGGATGATTGATGGCTAATTTATGATCAATTTACATTAATTCTGATTGATGCAATATGAGTCAATTGAAAATATCAATCAGTCATCAATCAACTATTTAATATTAGCTTAAAAACTACTTAAATTTGATCATTAATCAACCTAAATCAGTTTAAAATCAGCCAAGCAAATCGAAATTAATAATATCTAATTTATATTTATTTAAATTTTATTAATTTTATAATTTTATAATTTTATTATTTTTATATAATTATTAAATATAATTTTTTTAAAAAAAAATAAAGAAAAAATAGTAAATTTTCATCCAAAATGTCACCTCAGATTTACTTATCTTAATTCCAAATGTGAATTTTCCTAAAATAATAAGAAATAAGAAAGGAAAATAATACTTACCAAGATGATAATTTTCTAAAAAAAAAAAAAAAAAAGAAAATGATAAATTTCCATTCAAAAAGTCATTTCATATTTATCTAATAAGGAGATAATTCCTAAAAAAAAAAAAAAAAATGATAAATTTCAACACTTCTGATTTGTTTACTAAGGTAATAATTTTCTAAAAAAAAAAGAAATGAAAGAAAAATGATAAATTTCCATTCAAAAAGTCACCTCTGATTTACTAAGATGATAATTTCCTAAAAAAATAAAGAAAACAAAATCCAAAACATCACTTCAGATTTATTTATCTTAATTTCAAATGTAAATTTTCCTAAAATAACAAGAAAATAAAAAGGAAAATAATAAAAAATCCACCTAACAAATTACCTTTGATTTACTTAACTTAGTATATTTCTAAAGAAAAAAATAAAAAATAAAGAAACCAGATAAGAAAACCAAAAAAATCACTTATGATTTACTTACCTTAATGACTTCCTAAAGAAAGTATGAAAAAAAGAGTTAAAAACCATTAAAATATTATTTTAAAAAGGCTTACCTCCCTAAAAAAAACAAAGAAAATCAAAGAAAAAAACTTCTAAAAGGATTATATTAGTTTTAAAAAGATAATTTCTTTCAAAAATATAAAGAAAAAAAAGTTAAAACCATCAAAAATTGCTTTCGATTTACTTACCTTAATTTCTAAATGAGAATTTTTCTAAAAATCATGAAAATGAAAGGTAAAAGGTAAATTTCTATCAATAAAATCACTTCTGATTTACTTACTTACCTTATTTCCAAAATGAGAATTTCCAAAAAATAAAAATGAAAGGAAAATCTATCCAAAAACTCACTTTTGATTTTCTAAAATAAAAATTTTCCTAAAAAAATAAAGAAAAATGATAAAAATTTTTCAAAATGAGAATATTTCTAAAAAAAATCAGAAAAAAAGAAAGAAAAAAAATAAAAAAAGGAAAAAAAATTTTTGGATAAATCTGAAAGTTTTTTAGTTTTATAATATAATAGAAAATGTCGATTAATTTGATATTCATTAGCCAATTGAATGGTTTTGTATTTTGTATTATCCAATTGGAATGATTCTTTTATTATTCTTATCGAACGATAGTGTATTGTCTCATCAGGATGATGATTTGATCATTCCAATCAAATGATTTTGTATCATCTGATTAAAACAATATTA